ATTTTAAGTATATGGGGTCAATCAGAAAGCAACTGAAGAATATAGTTAAAATGACTCTTTTTGCTAACTATTGTAAAAGAAAGCAATTGGTCCCAAGATTTCTTTACCAATAATATTTACCGTTGCAGTAATATACCAAACAGTAAACATTTAATGACAATATTGTACGCATTTTTCGCGTGTCAGTACAAGAAACGGTTTAACACTCAGAAATCGATGTCTCGAAGCGAAATGAGATTTAAACCTACTACCCTAAATTCTGGTTTCTTTACAACTTCACATGAAATACCGCAAGTTGTAACTGTACGGCAATAGTTAATTTAAACTAACGAACGTACAAATAATGTTCATTTTGTAAGGTCATGCGTGAAATCAATGTGAAGTTTGTTCAACGTTTCTTGTTTATAACAAAAAATAGTAGTAAAATCTGTTTGTCGGTTTGTATTTTATTGATTCATGGAAGAAGAAATAAATTGTAATAAATAGCAATTTTTACAGACAATGTTGTTAATAATTAAATTTGAATTGGAAATTTGGAGACATAATTAATATTGTTATTATGTTCAATATATCACCTCGCTATAATAGTATATTATCAGTGCGTTATACAATATACAGTTTAGTGAGAGCGCAATAGAGCTGAATGTGTTAAATATATCATACGAAATTTCTCAACACACTTACGAGGAAACAGAATAAAAAAGATATATTATATTATGTTCATTTTGACACTATCCCGCCGTTTTATTTTTTTATTTAGACCGCTGCCTACTGGCTGGTCACACGCGGTGGTCAGTTCGAAATTTGAAAAATATAAAATAGTACGTTTATGGAATATACGCAAATACACGTGTGTTTTATGAGCTACTTTATATATCAAAAACCGGTGAAATTAGATCCAGTTTACGAGTAAGTGTGTTGAAAAACTCAATTAAATCATAAACTCTATATTATTTATTGACATGAGACCTATCGACCTCTTGTAGAAGAACTGACAAGGAACTCAACTGGTACATTTTTTATGTTATTATATTTAGTCAAATTCAAATGTTTCAACACAGCTGCTCTAAATATAAAAGTCAGCTAAATATCATCGTAATCTGCTGGCCATACCAACTGATAGAATCATACTCTATAGACGTAACATTTATCCCCATTGACCATTACATCAGTCACAGTAATGAGGTATTAAAGTCTTTAAACTATTGAAGGCGATTACTTTATAATACATAACGGTGGATAACATCCATGTTATGAGTTTGCAAATAACCGCGTCGGGAATCGAATCGCAGTCACGACTAAACGCTACCGTTATACATCGAGCACATACAATATGTTAATGCATAACCATTAAAACTATTCAATTCCATCATTAAATGACTTGAAAAATGTAGAAAGTTTTCTGCTTTTTTAAACAATTTCAAAAAACTGGAGGACTGTTTGGGAACGAATAGACTTGTGACATACAGTTTACGCTAGTTCAGATGTCTGGACTGCAACTTGGACTTTGATGAAATAATTTTTAATCCGTAAACAATCAACAAATACACAGTTCACGCTAGTTCCTAAACTAGGAGTCTGGACCGCATCTAACTTGTACTTCGATGAAATATATAAAATAAATATTAAACAAATATTAAAAATAATTTTTATTCTGTAAACGATCAACAAACGAGATCACAAAAACAACATTAATATACAACGATCGATGATAAAACGAGAACGTATACGCAACAGAATACGATATGAGAACATTATTATTACTGTTTTTGCTTTTATGTTTGTTGCTTCAGAACTTTTTTTACTTGACCCGATTTTGACTAACGCTGCTCCTACTAGATTTGGCTGGGTATAGTCAGAAACATGAACGGTGAAAGAGTGTTGGCGTACATTGGCAAAAAGGCTCCCTATACCTACACCCGGGACTCAAATCCCTGGACCTGATGAACACATACCATGAACCCGGCATCCGAAAAAAAAACTGACCGCAGTAGTTTTTGAACTGTTCTTACTAAAGCAATTAACGATACTTTTAATGGGATCAACGCGGGCATACACACTTCAGTGTACAATGATATCCTCAGAAGAATCAAAACTACAAATATACAGCATATATTTATAACAAATTAAAAAGGCACCAAGCCAAAGCCAGGTAAATACCGTAAAATTGAATTGGTACCGGTAAATTGAAAAGACAAAATCTGCAATAAACACTTGCAAACTTTATGCAAACCTAGCCAAATACCGTTTACGTTAGTGGTCTACGGGCTTGCCGTGGTTTGGCAAGTACATGCATACCAAGATGCATTAGTACGAAAGAGAAAATAAAACATTGATTGAATGTACTGCCACATTAGAATAGAATAGAAAATCATTTATTCAAATAAATTGCACTTTTCAATAGTCATCACATTTTTTTTAATCTACCGCTCATTCGGAAAGCTCTCTCATCACAAAAAGAACGAGCAAGAAACTTGTGTGTTGCTCTTTTAAATAATTTTATTCTTACTTAGTATGTGAATACAAACTACCGATTAGCACTAATTCAATTAAATAATCAAATAGAAAAAATATTTAATACACAACAACTGGTTAAATAATTAATAAGAAGAAATCAGTCATAGTGATTCGAGCAGACCAGTCCCTACAAGCAGCACCCGTTCACGAGTATGACATTCTGTCGAGGTGGTGAAGAAATTTTATGAAACAAAGCGTGACTGTACGGAGCACAGTACTATAATAATCATACATAAGTTACTTACGCAGCATATATCATTTCACTATATATTACTGTATTGGAACAACCCCTAGAGTGACTGTATTTTCAAATACTAAGAAAGACTATATTTCAATTCAGTTATACTCTTTGTTTTCAAAAATATGGGTACAAATATTAGGTTTCTTATAAGGTTACTAAAATAAAACTATAAAAATAAATAATTAGGGGTGGACTACCCCTAACATTTAGGGGGATGAAAAATAGATGTTGGCCGATTCTCAGACCTACTCAATACGCTCACAAAATTTCATGAGAATCGGTCAAGATCGGTCGGAGGAGTATGGGAACGAAAACTGTGATACGAGAATTTTATATATAAGATTATACTATCTATACATTATACTCGTAAGAACCTTATATATTATACTACTAACTATATCTATATAAAGTTCTTACGAGTATAATATAATACTTAGCCACCATGTTTGACTTAGTAGGCATGCAAATATATTTACTGTAGATATAATTAAAATAATCAAAACCAATAACAATATAATGGTAATTTTTTTTATATTTATGTCCGTATTAAAATTTTTCATCAATATTATCAGTGAATGAATGATAGGCTTTGGTAATTGAAGACACTTTATTTATTTATTAAAGTTTTAATGCATACATACAAAAATAAACGTGCATATGGCCGACTTAACACCATTAGGCATTTTCTGCCGGTCAACCATAGGGCAAACAGAGATTAATGAGCGATGTATTTAATTATATAATATGTAATAAAAAAAAGGAAGTAGGTATAAATATAATAATATTAATAAATTAAAATGTATATATCCAAATACATACATACTTAAATATATACACATAATATATATTATAAAAAAGCACATATACTTCAGTGCATTAATAATGAATTTCATATAATATTTCCTCAAATGATGACAATGGTTTACATTATTCTCAATCAGATTATTATTACTCATATAATATTTGCTTATAATATTGTAATATACTTTCAAAATCCAGGGTAATACTTTCGAATACAGACAACATAATATAGTTAATGGAAAGTAGATATTACTCTGTTTTATGAAGATAATAAACTGTTCATCAATCTAATATATAAAACCTCTGAGTTATGAAGTCTATAACTCTTGAATATTTCATTGTTGTTTTGATGAAAGCGCTTTATGGTCATCTCATTAAAGTACTAAAAATAATGTTTGGAAATCGCTTAGACGTATGACAAAAGCTGAGAATCATTATATAACTGCACAGATCTTGTTCAAAGTCTACTATTCACTATACAAAATTTTATGTCTTTAGAATATACAGCATCTTCGTCATCATCAGCATAACCCGCCTCTTAATCTATTGAGAAGAATACATTAAGATATATATGAATAGTTTAAATCTTAATCCTGATCTTCTCTGAATGCATATATTATTGAATATATATACATATTATAATTCAAGTAGAAGAATAAGTTTATGACTAAAATTATTATCAGCCATAAATAAGAAATTATTCACTCGTCATTACCTTGTTTTATCTCATTATTTGTGTCGGCGCAGTATGTCATTCTCTTCCACTGATCTCTATCGGGCGTCATATCTGAGCATACTCTCCTTTCATTCATATCGTCTTTCACACATCCATCCATATTTTTATGGTATTCTCTCCATTTCCATCCATTCACGTTCATATTCACAAGTTGAAGAAATTAGTCACTTACTGTAATATTTTCTAACTACATGTACCTTCACGACTGTGGGTGATAGATTTGTGGACTATACAGTCCAGTAAGATGGTCAACCAGCAAAAAAAAATTGTAAATAATTCTAATGTAGATACAAACAGCAACATTGAGAAAGTAACAATAATATGACAATTCTAAAATCAGGTAAAAAGGTTATTCAAAATTAGTACACAACAAAGAGTTTTACAATAACTGTAATAATCCCAGATGGAGCAGAAGTAGTCGCAGTTTGCAATACTCAACATGCCCACAATTAGATAAGTATATCCAGATCTAACTGCGCACTATTAAAAATGTATCAATTTATACATATGATGCCAATATGTATAAATTGATACATTTTTAATAGTGCGCAGTTTCTAAACAGCAAAACTACAATACGTCGGAGACGTAAAACTAATTAGTAACTAGGTCACACTCTCAATATATTACAATTACAATATTTTTATTATTACATTACATACATACATACATACATTGTAACTGTAGTTACTTATTTCATGTTACAGGTACATGATGCTGAAGTGGGCTGTACACGGTAAAAAAAATCAGGAGATCAGACCCAATAATGATATAGAATTAGAGAACCCAGAATCATTTTCAAATGGACAATATAATAAAAATATTCGAAGATCTTTAGATACGCAATCTGTGAAAAAGAGTAAAAAACCTAGCAGATACCAAAGACGATCACTAGGTTCAGCTGCTATTAAGAAAAATAACATCAAAACTGTTGATAAAGAGAATGTCAATTACATAGGAAATACTCCAAATTATTATAAAGAAGCTTTTATTAAAAAGGCCGAGGGTCTAGCACTTAAAGATGTTAGTAACATTACTCCTACTTCTGGCACTCCGGTGAAGAATTTTGAAAGAAGACGGTATTATTTAAATGGTTCAAAAGATGATATACCACCAGATTTACCTCCCACACCACCGACCTACAGCAGACGGGTTAGAGAAGCTAAGAAAAGGAAATTAGAAATGACCAGTAACAATCATGATGCATTTAGAAGAGATAATTGTATGTATAAATCTGAAAGAAGGATTAAACCAATTGATAGAATAAATTTTAGTCCTCCTAAGTTAAGTCATAGTACCTCAGAACCATCATTACATGATCTTTCTGATAGATTAAGCGCTTCAACTGATAGCAGTAGAAAATCATTTCAAATGAGAAGGCACATAAATAATAATATAATTAGCACAACTAAACCCCCCAGTGAGGGATTAGTGGAAATAGAATATGATAAAGATTTAGTTATTAATTGTATAGAGAAACCATTATCGGTTAAAAAGCATATTGTAGAAAAAACAACTTTACCTATTTTTGGACATCATGTATTTATGGATAACCCACTTTACTTTAATAAAAATAACTTAATGACAAATATTAGTAATATAAGACCTTTAAAAAGAACTAGAAAGAAATCTAACGAATTCGAAAGTTCATTCAAATCGCCTTCGGTAGATAAGAAAGATGCACATGTTTTACTAAGAGAAGGGTGTTCACCTGTTTCTATTACTCCATTGTCAGTCAAGTTAGCCGAACTTAGATTTAGCACTATGAGTACTCACAGTAAGTCGCAAAGACCTCTATTTTCAAACGAAGTAACTGAGTACTTTCCCAAAGTAGAACATCCATTTACGATACCTTTAAAAGATGAAGAAAGTTCTACTGAAATGGAAAATAAATTCATATTAGGTAAAGACTCGTTGTCAAACAATACTGAGTCCACAGTATCAACCACACAGATGGGTGATATAACTCTTGAAAAAATGATAGAAGATATAATAAAAAGTACAAAAATTGTGAAAACTAGAAGAAGAATTTTAAATCAAAACCCAGATAACCTAGCTGTCGAAGAAGAAATTCCTCCACTAGATGCAGTTAGGGATCTATTTGTAAATCCACAGGCAGATAACAAAATTAGTTTGATCAAAGAAGCGAAATATGTAAATTTGTCAAGGGAAAATTCTGTATCTCCTAAACATACTCCAACAAAGAAGATGATGAGAATGCCAGTACACAGGGTGAATGAGAAGTTATTAAAAAACTTACCTATTGGATGTTTTATTCTTGACGATGGAGATGGATATAATGAAAGAGAAGTAAGGACCCCTGATGATGAAATAGAAAATAGATCAAAAAATAAATCGAATGAAAGTGTAAATAAATTACTTAATAGATCACATTCAATGAACTCCTCTTATTTTGAAAGAAGTAATTTAGAATCTAATTTATCAGAATCTACGCCAGATCTATATAGTGCCACTCAAAATAATCCAAATAATAAGTTACGAAGGCAAAGATGTATTCGTAGGAAGAAATCCACAGTCAGTAATGAAAGTCGATGGAAAAGGGATAGCGAATTAAAATCTTCTTCATACCTTACATTAGAAATGGGTATCCCTAGTCCTGTAGCAGAACTTCAAAATGTATCATTGTGCCAACCTCTTAACACATCCTTTGATTGTATAGTTAGACCATCGTGTAATAAACACCAACTATCAAATAATGTATCAATACGATCTAATGTATCTCATAGTAGCCTAAAATCTCAAAAAACAGATCTTGACAGTAAAAGATCTAGAGAACTCTTTGGATTAACTTCAGAAAATGGTGTACCAAGTCCTATAACACCCGTAGCCAGCTTGAAGAGAACCAGTAACGTTTTGAGTGAAGAAAGAGCTCATAAAACTAGCAAACTAGATGAAGATTTATTTCCTTCTGATGCGTTTACTCCAGTTATAGAGCACAAATCTTCTAGAAGATGTTTGACGTATTCTCCTGAAGAATGTAGTATAAATAGTAGTGAAGAAAAACGGAGAAGCGTCGCAAGCAATCGATTAGAGCGAAGCAGTGATCGTTCGCAATTGTTAAAAGGAACTATAGATCTAGAAATAATCACAAGAGACGATGTTATAGACGTGCACGGTGAGTTGGTACTATCAAATTTTTTACTACAGTACCTTACATTTTAAACGAAATATAAGTATAACTTAACAGAATATTTTACTTTCAGTTATCCGTTGCCGCGATCTTCAGCGATCCTCTGGGAAAATAGACGAAATTAATGCTTATGCGAAAGTGAGTGAAATTACTTTATTTTTCTCTAAGGACAGTGTAGAGCCTCATGAAAATAATAAATTAGAATTCAGTACTATGAAATAAAGATTTCTTTTTTCTTTTATTCATATTTATTTTATACCATTTTAGGTAGTCATCAGCGGAGTGACTGAGAGTCAAGCGTTGTCATCCCAAAGGTCAATTTTCCAGAGAACATCAGTTCTTTATGGGAAACGAGAACCAGAGTTCCAGAGGCATCTCAAGTTACCACTCCCAATAGCTGTCTACGATCATCAAATGCTCCATGTTTCCGTCTGGCATCGAGATAAGAAGTATCGGTGAGTGATTATTTTATTGTTTTGTTTTATACATTATTACATTATTTTTAAACCAGGCCTGGGATCTTCTTGTAAGTATAATTAGATACATGTACGTGCTCTGCAAATTTTCTATCAGCATATTCCTACATATAAACCTAAATCTAAATATATACATAACTCAAAGGTGACATAGCGATCTATCAACGCACAGTCCAAACCACTGGACGGATCGGGCTGAAATTTGGCATGTAGGTAGATGTTATGACATAGGCATCCGCTAAGAAAGGATTTTGATTAATTCTACCCCCAAGGGGATAAAATACGGGGTGAAAGTTTGTATGAAACTTTGTCAATTTTAAGCTGATCAGGCTGAAACTTTGCATGCATAAAGCTACTATAACGTAGGCATCCTCTAAGAAATTAACACGAGCGAAGCCGCGGGCAAAAGCTAGTATGATTCTATATTGACTTTACATTTTACATTTTGTTGTTGTTACATAAATTTAACAATACCTATTTATACGCATGCATTTTATTTGCTTTACTATTCGTATTTTACTCCCAAAACGATATACAAAGACGGAAACGAAAGATTTAACACCCAACTTTTTTGCGGAAATATGTTTTGGTTAAAATGGTACGCCATTCTACAATACGAGTATCCATTTTGACCTCCATTACGTATAAATGTCCTAGCGAAGGAGGCGCCCAGGTACTTTGCGAGTGAAACTTGAATAACAAAGTAAGAAATAAATAATTGAATAGGGTAACGTGGACTTAAGTGGAATAATTCTAAAAATATCTATAAATAACTAGCTTTATTTACACAGTGGTCAGAACAGTTGTGTCTGTATAGGAATGATACATAAAACATTTTGTAATATATTTTTCTTACACAAGAACCCACACACTATATCCTTGAACTATTTACACAGCGCCATCTAGTCCTAAGTTAAACAGAACCTGTGTTATGCTTACTACAGAACTGATATAAATATGTTTTTTGTAAATACTATATATACATAGAAAACCCCCAGACCGATACAAACAATCATACCCATGAATTCTCAAATGTTTGTACCGTGCGAGGAATCGAATCCACGACCGTCATAGAATTAATTTAAAATTAGGATTAGGAATATAATAATAGCAAATGACAGTAATAATTTAATTATTAATAGTCAAGAATTTTATCAATCCAATTTAGTTAACAACAATGCAATTAATAGTTTTGCTAAAGCTACCCTTTAACCTCTCAAGGGTAATCTTTATACATTAAAGAGGAATAAATCTATTTTTATTCGTTTGTTAGTAATTAATAAAGTAAGAAAAATAGATGGACTCGATAGTTTAGCGGTGTCGCACACTGCTTTACTACCTATGGTCGCGAATTCGATTCGTCACACGGTGCAAACATTTGTATTCATGAGAAGTTGTTGTTTAGTACCCATAACAATCCCCGCTTAGCTTGAGACCAGGCCAGACCAGACCAATTAGTTAAAAAAAATTGTTGATTGTTTTTGAAAATATTTCGCTTATAGAAAGCTACATTATCAGAGCGTAACTTAAGTTGTATGTATGTACGGACAGTGATGCGGTATACACTTAGTATAATATACAATTAATATACAAACGTATACATTTATGTCTACATCAATATTTAAATAGAATACGCCACTGCTAAACTTGAGGTTACCTAAGTTTATCTGTAACGTACACCCAACCAACATATCATCGTTACGGCGGCACGGCCACGAGGAGTTTTTCACTTTTTCCTCAACATATTCCTCTCTCATACATAAGAGATTGGGATTGGGAGTAGGGTTGCCAACTTTATAATAACGTATCCTACTTTATTTTTGGTAATTATACTTTTACATACAAATAAAGTGTGCAAAAATACTTTATTTTCAACCTTTACAGTGATGCGTAAAAGAAAATATTCGTTATGGGTAGTTAACGATTTATAATTACTGAACGAAATGTTAGATGTCAATTGTGACTTGTGCCATTTGTCACAGCTCTAGTGGTAAAAGCATACAAAAATACGTTTTTAAAGCAACAAAAACATGAAATTTGATACTTTTTTTCTAATACCAAATTTTTTCCTATCTGAACCAGTGTGTAGGTTTTTTTTTTGTCAAAAAAAGTTGGCAACCCTAATTGGGAGTGACGCGGGGCGCGAAGGACATGCGCACAACGATCGATTGCTCCCCAGCGCAGTCCCGGGCAGTCGCGTATCAGACCCGTCAGGTGGAACGTACGGTCGCGCCGATATCGCCCCACAAAAGTACGCATTGGACATTCCGGTTTAAGTGTTGTGTTGGTGATTGTGATCCGGTTGAGTGGTTATTTTTTTTAATTTACAATTATTGTGGACCACCTTGGATAGTTAGATTGGTAAGGTTCAATTTCTTATATACGTGTATTGTGTATTTTTTTTATTACTTGTAATTTTTCTATGTTTTACAAAACGAAGCATTATATCAATGATATTGAAAACTAGATATATATTATGTATATAAAATTATATTTGTATATAGAACTGTACCTTGTAATAATACCTTTATTAAAACTACACTTTTTAATTGAGTCATAACATAATAGAAATACGTCCAATTAGCCCTAATATCCTTAGAATTTGCTGCACACGCGTTAAACTCTATCTTGATAAGTACAATAAATAACTATATAACTGAATCTAGTACTTCTTGACCTACTTTTCATTGCCCTTATCAAAATACCTAACTTATATAAGTCTGAATTGAAATTAAAATTGACTCTTATCGGTAAGGCAATAAGAATTCAAATATATTGTACATTCGGTTTGTACAATAGCCCTAAAGGAATACCAAGTTATAAGTCAAGTAAAATACTCATTCTGAACCTCTGTCACCAAGAAACAAAATGGAACCCTGAAAACGTGGTATAATTTTTTTTATACTTAATTGATCATGTGACCGGTTTGTATGAAGGTTATATAAAAATATTTTCAATTGTTTCTTTGATAAAGTAATTCAGTTTCATAAAAACTAACACTATGGTCTGGGGTTCTTAGTAATTTGGACTAATGAACACATTTCAAGCAATGTAGTATATCAGGATGAACTCCACGCAATTCCCCCTGGATGGAAACCACGATATGCTAACAAACCTGATATCATGCTGCCGTTATTATCCTCCAGTTTATAATACCTTTTGCATAGATGGGTGCATTATTTAATTATCATAAATTAAAAGAAAAACACTAACTTTTAGCATACAAATTTAACCAACTTTTTATCTTTACAAATGAAAGAACTGAAATAACTGTGTACAAAGTTGAGGCAAGAGAGAGAAAGCTAAAGGAAAATTACTTTCCCTCTCTGCTTTGTTATATACGTATATTTTCGTAATAAACATGATAATGTATTCAGCGATAGCATACCTGCCTGCAGCTTCTAATGCTGTGGGTAGTTTCCCATAGCTGCCAAATCAAATGAACATTTCTACAATTCATTCTGTAATGGATCAGTGGATTATAAACCAATATGATGTTCCTTGGAGAAGAGCTGGCCAAGCAGGCTCCCATTTCTCTTGCACTGAGTCTACTGAACGGTGTCGTCAATCGATTTCCTGAGCTGGATATTTACATGTGACTTGTTAAAATTTAGCAGAATGGCAATGGATTACCTAATTAAACCGTAAAATTGTAGGTTGTTATTTTTTTAATGTATTTTTTTTTTGTAATTATTTATATATCATATATTATTTTGTATAATTATTCCTAAGTGGGCATATTTGGAAGCTGTAAGGCTTAGGTTTGTAATCAATAAATAAATAAATATAGTTCACTGATCTGTTACAGAATAAATCTAAATGATGAAAACAGTACAGTAGTAACAGTAGATTAAAATGCAGCTGAGAACTATGGTAAAGTAACAGAAGAAAATGTATGACCTATTAAAACGAACAGTTCTGAAAATGTAAGTTAAGTTTCAAAATAATAAAAATACCTTTTTAGATTTTGGCGGGCGGTCCCCAACACAGAATCAAAATATCTTTATTCATTACTTGTATTATTAACCAGGTCTTGAACACGAATAATTTTATGGCAAATAAAGGTATTTAACTCTCTCTCAACGTAAATACCTTTACCATAAAATTATTGGTGTTAAGACCCGGTTAATAATATGAATAATGTTTATATTCATATTATTTTATTCACAAATATAACAAATCTCGTTACACAATAGCACGTCAATAGTAATTACATTTTTTTTTAAGATAAGTATGTCACAATTACAGTTTTAACTATTCAAAATAATAAATTAAATTGTATACATATCTATAAAACTAATTAAAGGTATAATATATAACTTTTAGGTGTTTTTTTTATGTTTTTTTTTTTTTATTATCTGTATTAAAATAATATTAATGTAATTAATTTTGTTTAAATAATAACATCGATATCTGGAATAATATATTAATAAACAATTGTATCAATGAAAAAAATTCAATTAATAAAATATATTTTATGTAAAAAAAAAAATATCTTTATTGAAAATATCATAATTTTATATTGGAATTTAGATATAAATAATAAAAACGGAAAATGGTTACCGTTTTTAATATACATTTTGCAACATCCTTTTTACAATGTGATTGAATCTTTATTCATGCTGACTTTTATGATATGTCAAATCTACCATCAGTTCGGAGTGCTTTTAAGCTAAGAAGAACGGACAAGTTACTCAGCTCTTATTTTTATCAAGTGAGCTTGTACATGTTTAAAAAATACAGAATCATTTTCTTTTCTTATCATGGACTATTCAGATTGATTTTATTCAACGTTTATAAATTTAGCACTTGCATATATAAATATATTTAACCTTATCTACTACTACATTAAAATACGTAATAAATTATAAAACTGAATTACGTATCACAGCTTCAGATGTATAGATACTAAAATTAGATTGAGATTTTTTTCTGACTGGTCAAGTTTTATTCTAAAACTTTTATTTACATATGGCGTC